TACTCTTATGTTGAAAAGTCGCAATTTTCGAGAAAAAAACAGGCAATACTCTTATGTTGAAAAGTCGCAATTTTCGAGAAAAAAAACTCAGAAATTTTCATAATTAAAGGCAGAAATTTGCAACATTTAAACTAGATGTTTTCTGACATGGTAAAGTCAGAAATTTACAAGAAAAAAAATGAAGTTTTCAGGAATGGTTAAAGGGCTATTCCACCTGTTTTTACTACCTTGAACATCTTTAATCTGCTCTAGTTTAAAAACTAAAACACGTAGAGACTTCAAACCTGGACTCGATTATTCTACACTGATTGCAGAGTGTTTAAAACCAAGTGTGTGATTTGTGAAACATATATTTGATATGTGAAGCTTAAGGAAACATGGTGATTTCAGCATTTTTWATGCATTTTATAAACAAYCAAAAATACTTATAACTACAAATATTCAACATAAGAGCTTCAGATTTGTTTTGTTGTTTAGSTCTGATGAAGCTCGATCCATCAGGCCCACCAATGATGACGTGACATTTCTCAGCTGAAACAAAACATCACCTCTGCTGTTTTAAACAAATTAGCCATTTTTGACTCAGCGGTTCGCTGTAATTAGCCATTTGTCACCTGGATCCAAACAAACGGGGAAGTGAAACAACATTTAAATGAGCCGGCAGCAGAGCTGAAGAAAAACAGAACAGCAGMTGAAACTTATTTTCATCCCGTTTGTTTTCTCTGAACGTGGAGAAAAAAAGAACAGGGTTCTGCGTGGAGATGAATTTGTATGCGAGGGATATTGCTTCTTTGGCACAGAGCAGGTTTCTCCACGCTGCAGAGGGAGTTTTTATATTTATTTATTTTTTTACTTTATCACAAAGTCTTTGAATGTTTCTGAAGGTTTGATCTGTGGGGTCTGAACTAGTGTTTTATTGCCTGTGTGAAGATTTAACGCTTCTTAAAAGCTTCCTGCAGCTGAACAAAKATCATTTAGTTTGCAGGAAACAGGGAGGCAGTGTTTAATGGAAAAAACAACAACAACTGCTTGGAAAAAGAAGAAAAACGTGATCAAATGAATGAAACTCAGAGAGGACGCACACTGTTCCATTTCATCTGTTTGGTTCACGCTGCTGCAGCCAGGAGCAGCTTTTCAATCAAGTCAATGTCTTTACAGTTACTTCTGTTGTGATGTGAGCCTGAATGAACTGAACCTATTTAGATTAATTTATCAATTAGACATTTGAATATTGTTTAAAAACATCCAACTAATCTTTGCTCTCGGGAGTTTTTGATCTGGATGAAATAAAACCTTCTAAAGCTCCTAAAGTTCAGTGTGAGACTCACCCGATATGTGAAGATAACACCAGACCTTCCTCTCCTTCCTCCATCCACCTCGATCTCCACCGGTCCGCTGTTGGTTTGTTCAGGCAGGAGGCCGAGGGGCTTCGGTCCGATCTCACACACCACACTGTGGACACCAAGTTCATATAATATGATTAATAATTATATACTTTTAATTTAAACTACAACACAACACAGAAACTATWAAACACATTGTCCTGCATTTTACAGTGTTATAAGTAAAAAATAAAGTATTTTGTARGTTTTCCTCAAAATAAGTTCCGCTTCATTTTTTCTCAACTCAAAGCATTAGCCAGCCCAGTATATTATAAGCCTAACTGTAAACATTAGCTAATTTAGTTAGCTAGCCTGTTAGCTTGGTGATCTATTTGTTAATGTTAGCTAATTTAGTTAGCTAGGCTGCCTATTGGTTAATGTTAGCTAATTTATCTAGCTAGCCTGTTAGCTTGGCAGCCTATTTGTTTATGTTAGCTAATTTAATTAGCTAGCCTGTTAGCTTGGCAGCCTATTTGTTAATGTTAGCTAATTTAATTAGCTAGCCTGCTAGCTTGGCAGCCTATTTGTTAATGTTAGCTAATTTAATTAGCTAGCCTGCTAGCTTGGCAGCCTATTTGTTAATGTTAGCTAATTTATTTGACTTGCCTATTAGCTTGGCAGCCTATTTGTTAATGTTAGCTAATTTATCTGGCTAGCCTGTTAGCTTGGCATCCTATTTGTTAATGTTAGCTAATTTAGTTAGTTAGCCTGCTAGCTTGGCAGCCTATTTGTTAATGTTAGATAATTTAGTTAGCTAGGCTGCCTATTTGTTAATGTTAGCTAATTTATTTAACTAGCCTATTAGCTTGGCAGCCTATTTGTTAATGTTAGCTAATTTAGTTAGCTAGCCTGCTAGCTTGGCAGCCTATTTGTTAATGTTAGCTAATTTATTTAACTAGCCTATTAGCCTGGCACCCTATTTATTAATGTTAGCTAATTTATTTAGCTAGCCTATTAGCTTGGCACCCTATTTGTTAATGTTAGCTAATTTATTTAGCTAGCCTATTAGCTTGGCACCCTATTTGTTAAGGTTAGCTAATTTATTTAGCTAGCCTGTTAGCTTGGCAGCCTATTTGTTAATGTTAGCTAATTTATCTAGCTAGCTTGTTAGCTTGGCAGCCTATTTGTTAATGTTAGCTAATTTAGTTAGCTAGCCTGTTAGCTTGGCAGCCTAAGGCTGAGTTTATAGTTGTATTTTGTAGCGTACGCGCACCCTTACCAGCAGTGGAGGTGTTTATACTTGGCGCTTACGTTGTTGCGTTGTATAACTTGTGAAAATGTTAAGTAGGAGAGTAAAAGCTTGACAAACTATTTGCACGACCACGCGCCGGGCAGGGCCAACTTGCAGTGGCGGGGATGCCGTGATTGCATCACTATTGGCACGCACCCCCCGATACGACCCGTCAACTAGTAACCTAGCTTAACTGTTAGCATTAGCTAATTTAGTTAGCCAGCCTGTTAGCCTGACTGTTATGTTAATTTAAGCTGAGGTGAAACAGCCATCTGAAGTCATTAAATATGAACAGCAGCTTCTTGTGAACGGAGCTTCTCTCTAACAGGTTAATGTCTCCGTCGTCCTCACCTGGTGGAGACGGAGTATCTGTCCTGCAGGTGGACACAGTCCACTCCAGCCACCGTGATGCTCTTGATGTCTTCCTTCTTTATTCCCATGTTTGAGCCTTTGATCGTCACAGCGATCTGACCGTTCAGAGGACCGAAGCGAGGGATGATCTGCAGGAGACAGGATGGAAAAAAACTTAAAATAATGTTGATAAAAGTTAGCTAGCTTGGTCAGGAAGCCTGTTAGCTTGATAGGCTAACTGTTAATTAGCCTTGTTAGCTTGGCAGGAAAAAGTTTGACGTTTTGAGGACATTTGAGTCAAAAAATAACTGTAAAATTACCCAAATAAAGAAATAAATGAGATAAAAATAAAATAAATAACCTGTTAAAATGTTTATTTTCTTTGCTTTTTACAATCTGACATTTACTTGGAGAAGTTCTGAGTTATTTTTAAGCTTTCCTGTACATATCCAAAGGATTCTGGGCATCCATCTCTTCATGTTTAACACTTCTTGTCTTCGTTGTGGTTGAGAGTTCTCTCCCTCTTCAGCAGCCTGAAACGTTTCTGTAATAACAAACAAGTTCTGCCCTAATCAGCCCGAGCCCCGAGGAAATCAACACGAAGCTTCGTAACAAAATAACTGARGTTCCTGAGAAAAGGGGAACTTATTCAAGTCGAAAAAACAAAACAAAAACAACAACAAAAAAAAAGGAGACAAGACAGGAGGGAGGACAGCAGAGAAAATTTAGTTTCAAACATAAAGCTTAACCTGAAGTCYCTGCAATGAAAAACAAAAACAAGTCATTATATCCACTGGTGGTTATTCCACCTCTTTGATTCTTGTCATCTTGTGCTTGTAATTCACACTCAGATACGTGTGAAATCATTTTCGTCTTCAGCCATGCGTGTGATTGCTTCTTATGTATGTTGTTCTGCTGTAACCTGCAGCGGGAGCCTCCTGGGTTATTAGAAAAGAATCCTCCGACGCCGTTATCTGTGGAGGCTTTTTACAACATCAGGCTCATTTCGGATCAAATGTTGTGATTTACGACAACAAATGTGACAACACAAGAGAAAAACACAACGCTGGGTCAATTAAACAGGTGCAACGAGAAGAAATCCAGATTCTGAAACTCTGCGCTTCAACAATTACTTATTTTTGAGTTACAAATGTTTAAAGTGTTACAATTTAATATGTTGTTTCTGGTCAAATGGAAATTAAACCGTTTTTTAATTCATTGTTGTGGTTTTTAGACTTGAACGTGTTTTCTGTGCTCRTGAGACGAGTTTGAGACGCTCGGGGAAGAAAAAGTTGCACAAATTTAGTTTTTGTTGACTCAATGGAGGAACCTGGGAACAAGTCACAGCCCGGCGTTGTTGTTTAGTAAACAACAACCCGATAGACTCAGTTTGTGTMTTTTTGTTCACTTCAGGTTAGATTTGAATCATTTTAGAACTTTCATGTTATGTTCTGATGATTAGGGCTGGGCAAAAATCCTATTGCGTGCAATTAACTCACGAGGTGGTACAGCTAATGCAGAGCTAATGCTAATGAGGTGCTGGCGCTAATGCAGACCTAAGTAACACGGAGGTTACAATAACATGGAGCAAATGCTAATACAAAGCTAACGGTAATGTGAAACTAACACTAGTGCAAAGCTAACACTAACGCAGAGGTAAAAGTAATGCAGAGCTAATGCTAACTTGGAGCTAACACTAATGTGAAGTTAATACTAAATTAGAGCTAGTGCTAATACAAAGCTAAGCTGGTGCTGTAAATATTGATTTTCGTAAAGCGTTTGACACAGTTGATCATTATACTCTCTRAKAAAAGTTGATTTCTTTTCAACTTTCATCATCTGCAATACAAATGTTTTCCTCTTATTTGACTGACAGGTGTCAGGTTGTGAAACGTAATGTTATGCATATAACTACTGTTCCCTGAAGGAAAGGAACGAGGTACAACATATGTATGGGA